GTAAAAATAAGAACGCCAAAAGAATGTCAGTCTCACTTCTGCAAATGAACCATGAAAGTGAAGGTATTTGACAAGTGTACATGTACGCGTCCTACCCCACAATGTAACCAGATTGCCTAAAAAAATATTGAGAGAAAAGCAGGCAAAGAAATTAAGACTTCACCTTTGAAAGATACTCTTTTTCTTAAATACATTTTGGATTGAATATTGTATACAGATACAGATATTTATTGTATCTAATAGAAATTTATGTTTTTCCTACCACACAGCACAGTGGCCAAGTAAAATGACAGGTTATTATATGTCTTTCATATGATATAGCTCTGGATGCTAGTTAAAAGCTCCCTAAGATGTAGTAAATATTTCATAAACTTATGATATTTAAGGTCTCTGGACACACAGAGAAAGAAAAACAATTCCTCTCATTTTTAAAGGTACCAATCAAATACTCAGTGCACATAAACACTGCAAAATACTTGGTGCCTGTGAATGCGTGCCTGTGAGCATGAGCGTGAGTGTGTTAATTAACTATTTTAGTGTAGACAAGGAGCAAACCATCCAGAATCTAATAATGTCAAACTCCTGATTTGATTAAAAGACACAGATTACAACAGTAAGAATTGTTTGGCATGATGTGTCGCTCATGAATTCTCTCGTTTGTGGTGCTGCACTCCAAACCTAGCTCATGATTCCAGCAACTGGTAAATTATGGAGATGTTCATTAAAATCTATAATCTGTAACAGTCAGCTTCTTCCCTCTAAAGCATAAACACAACAAATGAAATCAGCAAAGACCATTAAAGAAACCTCTGGAAATGTATTATTCCTTCACTCATGTCAGAGAGAAATACAAGGGTGCCAAATTTTGCTGGGGCAAAATATTACTAGCTGAAACTTTCCACTGGGATTGTGCTAAATTTTTCATCCACCCCCAAGAGCATGTAAGCAGGAAAATCATTTTTGGAAAACAAGTCAGTGAAATGTAAATGACATCCAACCCAAGTTCAAAACTGCTCTTCCTCTCTCCCCTCAACCCTTTCTACAGGTAGATTTTAAGAGAACAGGACATCATTCTTAGTAAGCCCATTGATAAAAATGTGTTTTTTTTTCACATAAAATGTCAGCAAAGCCAGCATAAGTGAAATCTTTCAGGGTAACTTTAGCTAAATAAAGCACTTTGAAATACGCAAAGTTTCCTTTTAGGAAAACGATTTCTCCATTTGACAGTGTTGGTACAACCCCAAAATAAATTCAGTGGGAGTCTGAAATGACTTGTGCAGCACAGCAAATAAGTAGTTTTTTTCCTCTCCCAGCAGAGACTTACTTTACACCGCTGAGCATTTCCTTTCTATAAAATGTCTAGCTGCTCTTGTCATTTCTAAAGAGTGTGCAGAATGAGTGATTTTAAATGTTAAACTTCTTTCACATCCCTCCCCCCCCCCAATCGCTCCACCTTTTGTCTTTTCTAGCTCTTCCCTTTTTCTTAGGAAACATTAACCTACCTTTCCTCCTTCAACAAACACACACCACATACTTCTTTACCTTGGAGCTACAAGTAAAAAAAGATGTCACTCTGTCCTGATGCTTAGTTTAGCCACTCTCAGAGTCTACAGAGAAATGTAAATATGCAGTAATTAATTTAGGTTTAAGAACATCCCATACACTAGGGACATTGTTAAGCAGTCACTTTATCTATTTTTCATTTACTAGATTTTATTAAGACATTAAAACTTTATGTTGGGTATTTTTGAGCTCTTAATCATTCTGTAAAATTCAGCGCTGTTAGCAATAGTTCTGGATACACTAGTGATTCTCTAGGAAGTTCAACTTCCTTTCTATTGTGGGTTTATGTTTTGTATTTAATTAAATATATTTAATCATTCCTGATTTTTCCTTCCTTTCCTTAAAAATTTGGGATTATTCTATCTGAACATCACAAAGTACAACCCAGCTATCATTTATTCCCTAATAAACAGAGACTAAACCGATTCCAGTTATAATTTCTCCACATAATTTCAGGGTCCCTATCTTCAGTTTGTATTTTCTCATGATCCTTTTATCCATTCAATTCACAAACAGGAATAAAGAGGTGCAAGTAACTTTTCAGTAGAGACCAAAAAACCTCACACTTGCAGAACTATTAATAAATCATATGGGATAATTCACAAAACCTAATTCAAGTTACTACTGCTGCTGAATGAATTAATGATTGTTTATTCATCTGACACTGTGGGCCATTTTCATTCCAAATGTGTAGCGCAACTGTCCATGATAATGAACACAGATAAACAAGAGAAGTTTCCTTCATTCAAACTCATTGAATCTTTAGAAAGTTGGGGTGACCCAAAGTTTCTAAATTGCTCACAGTGATTGGGGTACTATGTTACATGAACATTTCTGCTTATGAAGAGGGTGACAGGGAAAGAAAAATAACTCTTCCGCAGAACCTACACACACCGTGAGACCTTCACGGCAGACACTTCTACACGCTAATTTTTTACCTCTTTGTAATTCACTAGCCAGTTTTAAAAGGGCTGGTGCATATTAATAACAAAACTGAAACTGATAACATGGATGTGACAGGTGAGACCTCGATGACTAGACAAAATACACTCAAAGAACTGTGCTTGATGTGAACATAACAGTGCAAGAACAACCTCTTCTGTGTGATGCATTTATAACTTAGATATGCAAGTTAACTGTATGTGTCCTTATGCCGGTCTTAATTAATATACATATAGTATATAGACAGTACCTGCTCTGTGCATGTGTGCGCACGCGTGCGTGTGTAACTATAGCCAAACACATGCACACCGTGTAAACAAATGGTAATAATTAACAGAGATATTGGTTTATATTACCAATTGCAACTGCACAGGAAAAATGGTAGAAAAAAATCATGTGTTGTGAGGTCTATATTTTATTGCTTCCTATCCTTATCCTTTGATATCTGCATAGCACAAAGAACAGCAGCTTATTGATTATTTAACTAGAACATTTACAAGAGCAGATCTCTGAGCTCTGAAAATGAAATGTCTGCTTTGAAAAAAAAATACTCAGTTTTGTTACCATGGAAAAAGTTTGGTTCAATATTAAAAAAGAATTCTTTAAAAAACTCTTCAGGAAAAAAAAAGAAAAACTCTATTGACACAGAAATAAAAGGAATGCATTTGGTATAACAGACTTTATACTTATTCCATTCATTTCAAAGTTCAAAAACATTCTAATAGTTTGCTTACAAATCTCTATGTATAATCTTAGTAAAGTAAAAGAAACGCATTTAATCACTGACTGTATTAAGTCAGTTATTTTTGTATTAGCTTTGGGTTCATCACCACTAACAGTAACAGTTACTCCAGGTACTGTTGTTGATAACTTAATACAGTACATGAGCAAAAACAATCTTTACTCTTCTATCGCAATAATAAGAAACAAAAGAAAAATGCCAAGTATTTTAAGTAGAGTTGGAAAATTAATTGAATTAAATGAAACCTTTGGAGCAGTTTAGCAATGCCAGTGCCGCTTTCTGGTAACAAAGTGTTTTAGCCACAAAAGACAACAGAAAGTGTTAAAATAGTTCTTGCTTTTCTGAATTTCCTCCCTAATTTTATTTTTCTCCTTTCTTTTGATCCCAGAATTTTTTCTTGTCCTTTCACTGAATGTGTGTTTCTCTGCCCACTTAAAATGTTTTCATCTTGCTTTCTTTTCTCTGCCTTTACTATCAAATTCATAGTTTTGAGAGATGAACAGCTTGACTTAGCATATTTTTAACCAGCTGGTCTAGCACCTAGCTTCCATTGCATAGTCAGATACAACCAAATGTTTATACAGAAGGTAGCTTTCATGAAATTGAAAAAAAGCCTAAGTAACATGCATCTTGGCATTCTTTTATTTACCACTTAGAAATGAAAAGTTTGAATTCTTTATTATAGAGCAAAACATGAGGCTATTTATAATATTTAAAAATTAAGCTGCTAGAGGGAATTGGTGCTGAAACTTCAATGGATATGTGTACAAATGTATGATAGAAAGCTTCCAAACATATTTTAGAAAAGCCAGATTTATGTGAAATAAGCACTGAGCTGTAGGAGGTTAAAAACCATTGCCAGTGATAGCAAAAACTTCACTGCAAACATACAAGCCCCCCTCTTCAACAAGAGGAAAATAAATAAGTCATAAATCAAAATTCAGCTTTTGACATGCAGTGAGGGAGGTGCTGGCTAAAACTTTGAATCAGGAGTTGCACTATTTGGGCAACTTAGAGGATGTTCTCTTGACAGAGTGCTGTGATGTTAACTTGACTAAAAATAATCACTTGCGTTAGATCAACAAAAGGTCATGTGCTTTACAGACTGCCTCCCAAAGTTTTACTGAAGGATCAAACTGGAAGTTAAACCCACCATTTCACCCACCGCTAGACTTCTAATGTCACCCTAGAAATCACTCCTTTAAGACAGAGAGATGCTAAACTTGAAGGCATTCTGCATCAAATACTGCCTCCCATATTTTAGTAGACTAATTCAGATAAGAGAAGAGAGATTGTGTGTGTGTGTGTGAGAGAGAGAGAGAGAGAAAGAGAGAGAGAGGGAGAGACAGAGACAGAGAGATCATGATAGTGTTCATTAAGATCTGCACTAGGGAGCTAAACAAAGCTAAACAACACCAGAAAAGCATCACTGGTGAAGCAGATTTAAAGGACTTTCCAGATTCCTGCAATCCAGTTCAGGCAGAAACGACAGCAACAAAATGTTCCAGCTCACTGACATGTAATCTGAATAGCAAAGGTAAAGCTTCTCCATCGGGCAGTCTTTTGGGGGAGCATCTCCCCACTGCTCCAGAGCCAGCTGTAAAAGGGAGAGTTGTGTGTATATATTATACGTGTCCTATGTAAAATCTCTCTCTCTCTAGATGTGCCTATGCACACACACATGCACACACACACACTCGGGGACAGGCACACGCATATTTAAATAAATAATAGCGACAGAAACTCGACTCACCTTTCAAACTCCTGAGGTAAATCAGGGTCAGTTAGCATGCTGGAAAAGCACAATTTCCCTTTGTCACAGCAGCCACCTATGATCGCCTCCAACTGAACCTGTCAAGTGAGTCCAAACCTTCTAAACCGATTGATTTTCTCTCTCTCTCTCTTTCTCTCTCTCTCTGAGCTAGGACTCCTTGACCAGTCTCTTAAAGGGGTAGCACACTTAGCAGTAGACACTGTTTATAAAGCTCCCCCCACCGTGGAGCAGCCTGCTGCGGCTGCAAAGCACTAGACAACCTCAGGGTGCCTGTCCTTTCCTTTTAATTCTGTCCTCCAGCCACCACAAAATGTGAAAAGTCAACTCATTTCATGTTTGAAAACCAAAACCAAACCCACAGCACAAGCAGAAAACCCCCCCAAAAACCCACCTAAACCTGTAAACCAGGAGCAAAGCCCCCCTGACTGAGCAAGATCAGCGAAGAAAGAAGATAGAACAAGAGCAGCCTGATTAAACTGAAGCACTTATCAACTCTCTCTGAGTTGGAAACAGGGAAGAAAAGATCAGACATATAAAAATGTTAGCAAAGGCATTTATGCTCAAAGATTTTTTGTGTCCCCCCCCGCCCCAACTCTCTCTCTCTCTCTCTTTCTCTCCCATTGCAAAAAAAAAAAAAAAACCCAAAAAAACAAACACACACACACAAAAAACCCAAACCACAACAATCAGGCATTGTTCTGAGGGAAGAAAAGCAACTTTGACAGATTGAAATATAGCAGAGGCCCCTTCAAGGAAACCTGTAAACAACTTGTCACTCACTCTGTCGGTCTCACTGTTAGCTCTTGCTTTCCACAAAGTGCTGCAAACCGTCCTGGCAACAAAACCAAAGTTTCCTCAGCTCCAAACTCCATCAAACAGCCCTGCTGCGTGGAGGGGAAAAGGTATCCACATGCCAAAACAGCGCGCGCACACACAAACGCACACACACCACCACAACAAAAAGTCTGTCCTCTAGGGGTTGTTTTAATCCTCCCCCCCACACCCCACTCCCCTTCTCTGAGCGAGTTAAAGGACTCCCTTAGCTGTGGATCTCTTTAATTTCCTTTGCCCAGACAGCCACAGATAACAAGGTGGACAAACTATGGTTTTAGAGAATCTAAGCTGGCTGGCAGAACACAGCCTCCACAGCAGTTCCAATTATCTAGATAAAAATCTGGCAGACGAGGAAGGTAATCAGGTAATGGACCTTTGACATGAAATGACAGAGGCGCACGCACATACACACTTACACATACACACATGCAGAGACAGGGACTGGCCAGTGCAATGCAGCATCTGGTCAAATAGGAAAGCACACACACACATTCACACACATAGAAGACAGTGTGAATTCTCCACATCATACAAACGCAGAGACAGAGAGGGAGAGAGAGAGACCAGCTATCCACTCCTACTGGGAGGGTTCATTCTGCACAAAGGCTACATTACAGAGCCCGCCCCAATAAGGGAAAGGGGGGGGGGGGGAAGCCTTCTATTGTCGAGAGGGCAGGTCAGTTGATTAGATTTTTCAGTAGAGAATTCCACGAGGAAATTCCCTTCAAAGCCGAAGTGATTAACTAGGGGCTATTCTGGAAATGGAGCAGACAATGGCTCAATAGTCTGCACGGCCAATGTCCAGGCTGGCACTGAACTCACTTTAAAAAAATAAAAAGTCAGTCTCCTTGTTCTTACATACTCAGACACACACACAGACATGCACACCTCTATTCCATTCTCTATTCCTTCCAGCTTTTCCTCCTAGTTCCCTATTACTTTTCTTTTTCTCCCAGCCCCTGTTCATTTTCCCCTTCCCCCCGCTTTTCTTTTCTTGCAGCTGGACAACATTAAGGGCCTTTAAAAACCACAAGGTTTTGACCCCAATGCAGTTTGATGAGGTCCATTGCCCTCACCCACCCGCCGCTGGCGACATGCAGAGAGCAAGTTTACTTTTTTAGATGTACACAAATGTGTGCACGCATGCTATACAATGTTCAACATTTTCATGCAGATTGTTTTTTAGGCAATCAGAAAAGAAGGACTCAAAATTTTAACTGAAATCTAGAAACTATACCCCTTTTTAGAAACTTACTCATCTACACTTGAAAAGTCCAATGTAAAACTGTATATACACATGCACAGAATCTCAGAGCATACAGCACAGCATAGAATTACAGTTTTATCAGCAAGATGATGAGATGGCTGTGTTAGTCACAAGTAGTTAAACTATTTTTTGAGTTACACACATCATTCTGAATGAGCATTACTCCATTAATTGGGGGGGGCCCTGTCACTAACTTTGCAAATGCACCTTCGTTATAGTATAGAGGACTGTTTCAACTAAAATTATCTCCAATCTGCCTCATACGGTAGCATTCAGAGCAGAGTCACAGAGAATCTGTCAGCTCCTGGCATGAAGTAAATCTAAAAGCTCCTCACTATGGGGCAGGGTAAACTGGTTTCCTTCAGTAGCCCCTGGCAGATGATATTTTCCATGATGGTTCCTTCACAAGAAACTAACAAATCTAGTTAATATGTACAAAGATTTTTGGTGTTTGCTTGTTTGTTATTAATAGCTTATCCTTTTCAGATAACAATGAAACAAGCATTAGGGGGGCAGCAGCAAATGAAAAAAACAATAACCCCAAACATTTTGCCTTTCATCTGAGGATCTCCAACCACTTTAAGTCTCACATTACCCCTCTGCAGTAAATACGTGTAATGACCCTGCTTCCGAAACCCTTACTTGTATTGAATAGTACCCTACTCCACAGGGCACCCCATTGAAATCAGCTGGTCTCTGCGTGGAGTCATGAGCTACTTTGAGGAAGGGTATCTGAGTTTGCCCTTAAGAAAAACAAGGTAAAGAAAGTCAGATGGCCTCTGGTACTTTATAGACTAACTTGTTCAGAGAGGCATGAGCTTGCATAGGTTATAATCTACTTTGTCAGGTGCACCTTGCTGATGAAGTAGGCTACACGAAAGGTCATGACTCTGAACAAGATGGTCTATAAGGTGCCATACTCTCCTGCCTTTTGCCTAACTTCAGACGAACACAGGTTCCTACCATCCTCTAGGTTAAAGAAAGGTTAAGTAATTCACCCAGGCTCACATGGTCAATGGTAGTATCTCATAACCTGAGGAACCATGACTCCTAAACTCCCGTTTTCCCTTATAACAATTAGAGAAGTGTGCCTCCTCTAAAAAAAACTGCTTCCAAGCCAACTCTTTTATTTAAAAAAAAACACTTTTTTCTTCTTACCCACCTATACATTTCAAGACTTACCACTTTTAAATCAATTGCTTTATTAAAATTGTTAAAAAGTTGTTCTACACTAAAAATAAAAAGACCAAATTTGAGCAGTCTCTTTCTATATGGTCCTTGACTTCCTTTTTGGCCCTACTTGGTTCCTTCCCTGAATCTTACTTCCCACATAGTGTCTTCCCTCCCCCTGGCACCATGTGGCACTGGGGAAATTCTGCAGAGGCTTTAACAGGTAAGAGCTTATACAGAAGCAGCCAAAAAGGGATTGCTGCACTGGAAGAAGTGTGCGGGTAAAGGAGGCCAAGCCATTTTCTCCACATATTCTTCTCAGCACCTCTCCCAGGACCTAGAATAATGACAGTCAACTCTGAGGATGATAAGACCTATGTGTTATCTTCCCTCCTCCTGCTATGTAACTAGAGTGAAAAATTACACAAAGGAGCCAACCAGAAACTTCAGCCAGTAGGAGTGGCTATAGAAGCAGCCATAGAAAGACCTCGTACTATTTAGGGAATGCTCTATAATTTTGACTGGATTTGGTTGCTCCATCTACCTCTCTTCCTGTCCCTTTTCTCCTCAGCTCCTTCCAGACCCGCTCAGGCTGTGTTGACCTGAACAGCCAAAGAGCCAGAGGAGGAAAAAGTGAGTTGGTATCCTTGAGAAAGGCCTGGTCATTAGGAGAACTGGAAAAGGGAAAGTAAATGAAGCTGGAGACCATTTATTTGAATGCCTCTGACTTACCAGGTACATGTTACCTATTCTTTAGCTCCCTTTGTAGCTTCCCTTCTAGTTTCCCTTTTACTAGGAATACATTTCTCCACTTTGCTGAACTTCTTCCCCATGGCCTCATTCAGCTTCTGCTCTATATTACTTTAATTTCCCTTGGTCCATTGAGCTCCCCCTTCTGGCTCCATGATATGAAAAGGAGCTGGGTTCAAAAAGAGCATAAACAAGTCTTCTGCTTTTTTCTCATCCCTCCACCTGTCAAACCAGGTTAAGCACCATATGCCAAACTGCAACCACAAGAGGGAGAGAAAAAATTCTAAATAATTAATTTGAGAAACCTCTGAAAATTAATTGAAACATCTTTCCTACAAATCATACTGTCACAGTTTTAAGCCCTCATATCTCAGAAGCCATTAGGAGATGCAGAAGATGAAACAAGGACTACATATGTCAATAGAAAGTGGGAGAATGGACAATAAGGACAGATGAACAATGATTGAGAAATAAGAAATTGTACATCAAGTGCAAAATCCCTTTCTCAGTTTAGTTAAGAAAATACATGTATAATATGTAGTACTAGGTGACTCCCCCCACCATGAACAGTAAATTCACCAAAAAAGAGGTGTTCTTCCAAATAATTTACAAATCCAGGCAAATAAACCCGCACACTTTGTCCAACAGACTGTAAGTTACAGCTATCAGCTATGAAGTGGCAGATCTAAGTTCAGTCCCAAATCTAAGGGGAATGAACACACATGCCCTGCCTCCCCAAAAGATACCTTAAGGATCATTACTTAATCACTTTGTATCAATAAATAAAGGGAACCCAGGTGCACCATCTCCCAGGTGAGAGTCCTAGTTGTTATAACTTTATCCCTGCCTCTGGTTTCTAAAGGATTTTGTTAAAAGTGAAATGGTCCCAGGAGGAGGGGTACGCTCAGCAAAGATTTCAAACAAGGTTTCCCACCTATTGCATAAGTGTGCTAACCCCTAGACCAGTGTTTCTCAACCTGTGGGTCACAACCCAAAAGTGCAGTGCAAGACTATACAAAAGGGACCCAAGCAAACTTTAAAAATGTGCTCTTTTAAAAGAGGAAAATGTGGGAAACCACAGGTTTTCCCTTGCAGGCTGGCAGAGTTCCAGCCTGCAAGGGGCTGCTTGGGGCTGAGGGGGGATCAGGAGGAGGGCGATTAGGTAGGAAGCACCCTGTGCATGTGCACATGCACACATGCATATGGCAGCCAAGCAACATGACAGCAGCTCCCAAAGATCCCTGCAGGTAAGTCTATGGGGTGGGGGGCATAGGTGAGATGTTCGGGAGGCATGAGGGGGTACATGCCACTCCAAATTTGTGCACCCACAGTGGGCATGGGGCTGCAGACTGGCTGGAGTGGCATTGGCAGGAGCCACCTCTGTGGCCTAGTATGCAGGATCCAGCATGGGAGGGCAGAGCGGGTCAGCAACACTCATTGCTGTTGTGCACTGGGACACCCTGCACCAGCTGTGCTGCCAGTAGCATGAGGAGTAACAGACGGGGGGGCGGGGCGGCTGTGCTGCCCTCACCTCATCCCACTGT